GGGGGGGGGGGGGGGGGGGGGGGGGGGGGGAGCCGCCAACCTCGAACTGAAAACTTACACTCACTATTTTCTTCGAAAACATACGTGAGTTCCACAAAACCAGGGTGTGGGTGTGGGTGTGAGGGTGTGGGGTAGAGAGCTGCATCTCCATGGCAACCGGGTTCGGGCCTAAATCCGGTGTTTTTTTTTCATGAGGGTGAAAATTTGAAAAATGATCACGTAATATTTGAATCAACTATCTAAAATAGCTGGAATGGAGTGAATGTGTCAAATATTACGTGATCTATTTTTCAAATTTTCACCCCCATGAAAAACACACCGGATCCGGGTCTAGACCCGCCTGGGTCCGATTTGCAGCTCTCTAGTGTGGGGTGTAGGGGTAAGTGTGGTTGTGTGTGGATGTGAGTGCGTGTGGGTGTATGGGTGTGGGTGTCGGTGTGTGGATGTGAGTGTGTGGGGTGTGGCAGTGGGTATTGGTGTGGGTGTGTGGTGTGTGATGAGTGTGGATGTGGTGTGGGTGTGGGTGTAGGTGTATGGTGTGTGATGAGTGTGGATGTGGGTATGGGTGTGGTTATAGGTTGTCAGGAGAAGAACAACAACACCCACACTTAGCCACGAGCGGTGGAACAAGCTACGGTTTGGGCGATGAAGAAGCAAACTTTCGAAGTTGAACATTATTTAATACGATGGGAACAGTTGAAAAAACAGACCGCAACAGGTGAAAGCAGCAGAATTCCAGAATCGTTTTTATCGGCCAAGATTATGCTCGATAATGCCGATCATTTACTAGATGACATTATACTACAAATAAATCAAGAACTTGAACGGACTCCGAAAACTAGCATTATAAAACGTCTTAACTTTCTTAAATCCTTGATTGTATGTCATTCGAAAAAGAAGAATTTTTCTATGGCAATCAAATATTTTGAAAATGCTACTGCCATGTACAATGAACATCAAACTTCAGATATGTTATCCAAAGAAGAACTTGACAATGAGATGATAACCATATATTTCAATACAGCTAGAGCCTACTATCGTCAGCAAGATTGGAATGTGTGTTTGACTATGTTGGCAAAATCGCTCGACCTTGTTCAGGAACAGAAAGAAGAGCACTCTTTACTACCAGAGCTGTATTATACTATGGCATTAGCTTGTGCACATCGACAGCAGGTTCCTATAGCAATCAGTTACTTTAAGTTGGCAATCAGTATTGCTGAAAAGAAGTTGCCTGATGATCATCCGGACATGCAAAAGTATCGTTTTCAATTGCAGTACTATACAAACGGTGTGTTACAAGCAATCTCTAAAGGACAACAGAATTATTGAGTTTCTACACAGCATCTGTAATCAGTAGCAAGCTTATTCAAATAAAGAAAGACAACTTTTCAATTTGTATTTCAATCGTTCAATTCGACTTAGCATTTAACAGTTCAAAAACTAACAGAATGGTCTGTTACCAGGCTTTTATGAATTGGGTGGGTGGGGTGTAGGTGTGGATTGCTCTCTTGCTAACGCTGATACTACCATTTTCGCTACCACACTCACGCTCAATCACACATCCAAACACAGCCCCACATCAGCACCAGTATTCCCTCCTCTCTACACTCACATCATAATGAAATTAGGTGTGGGTATGAGTTTCCGGTCACCTGACACCTACATTCCATATCCACCCACACTCTACATCTCACATCCTGATTCCTAAACTCCTCCTCAAGATATCAAATGATATGAGATGCTTTGATGTTCGATTAATAATTGACAGAGATCTGTGTTTATCGCTGAAAAGTGTTTTTTTCGACTATCTGGCATAAATGTCACCAATGATGCCCTTCATAACTTTTTTCTTTATCAATATAATGAGTTAGATTTTTTACTATGAGGTCTCCTATAGATTGACTATTGTTTCGAATAAAAAGTCAAAAAATTAAAATTTGATTTTATACCACTTTGAATGATGTTATCGCAACTCGTCTCTTATGGTGAATATAATTATTGCCACATGAAGAATATTTTCGTAAACATCGACTCTGTGATGAAATGGTGCATAAAAGAGAAATATTAGTGTTGAGTAAGGCACTTTCTGATGTCTTGTTCACATAGAATATTCAGCAACTGATTGTCGCCGACGAAACAGAAACTCATAAAGCTTTTTGTCCTGAAGTTAATCAAGCAGTAATAACTTTTAGAATGTTGCCCAACCTTTCTCTTGTTCGAAAAAAAGTCGATTTATTTCTCATGCCAACAGCAAGAGAACAGAAAATGTTGATTGTTGTTCTGCGCAAGAAAACAGTCATTCACTTTCAATTTTTTTACTTGACGACAATTGCGTCCTTGTGTAAAGTGAATAGACGAATGTGAGTATTGGGAGCATGAGAAAATATTAGACATTCAGTAGTATGATGATTTTCTTAGTTTTTCATAGTATTTTGGTTTACTCGATCTGACGAGTGGATTAGAATAAGTGGTCGTCTCCGTATTCTATTGATACCTCTATCGATTTTCATTGCTCATATTTATTTTTTTAAGACAAGATTTGTTGTGATTCATTAGTCGAACTTCGTACGCAAAAATTCATTTAAATGTCTCTATAGCCACTATGATGATGAAGAAAATTTTATCATACAAAAAGTCTTCAGATCATTCTGGATTTGGAAGCTATTTTAAGTTAAAAGCCTACCTTCAGTCTGTCTTCGATGAAAAATCTTTATTTTTCGCAATAATGTTGTAAAAGCAAATAGACACGTGTTTTGTTTAGTCTTAAGTCTTCTGAATAAAAGCCAGTTTATAGCCTTGATGTTAGTGTAAAAATTGTTTAGAATGTCTAAATAGGAGTCATGTAGTGTGGGGAAGATGTTGTGCGCAAGAAAATATTCGCAGCGATTTAATTTTCATAGAGGCTTTTTGCCAATTTCGTTCTTTCTGATTTGTGCTCAATGAAAATCCTTTTTTCGAAACCTTTTCTTGAGAATACTCCACTCATCCTTTATGAAGTTCTTGATAACGGCTAGATGAAACAGTCTGATACCGTTGAATTAGATTGATCTTGAATAATTGAGCGAAAGATATCATAGGTCTAAGTTTCAATAATGCTTCTTTCTATGTTATCAGGAGGCTGTAAGAGCTAACAATGATCTCTCTGATTGTCCTCTTGCTCCCACCTGCTACGCACGATTGAACTGCAACGTTTTCTTAGGAATAAGAGACACTATGTGGGAAAGAGCATTGTTATGCATATCTTTTCTCATGTTTCCTTCTAATAAAGAAGCTAAAAGACGAACTACACGCTAAAAAATACTTATTTTTCTATGAGAATATTTTTTGTAAGATCTACTGGTGTAACTAAAGGTGACCAAGATGGAAGGTCAGCCGCCCTACTGAGACGTTGAGTCCCATCGAATGAAGTTGCTAGAGCTAAACTTTACTACGAGTTCCACTTCACATCGAATAAAGTTTGAGCAGCAAAGCCACTACTGACCGATCCCTATCAAAATCTTGATTATGTCCCTAGTGAGATCTACAAAAAAATCAGCAATAAAACTTTTTTCGGAATGAAGTAATATGCTCCTCAAACAGCGTTGAGTATCTGTGAAAAAAGTTTCAGCCTGATCGATCCCAGAGTGCCAAAGAAAACCAGGATAACTTTGCACTTTTCTCCGCATTTACTCATTGTTGATCTCTTCCTGAAGGATATTTCTAGAGATTATCTCTAAAGCTAGATATTACTTTCAAAGATGACCTGTGAGGAGAAAAATTCCATGTTAAGACGGCCAGGATTTTCTCTCTGTGCTTATATTTCTTGTGTAGTTAAATAGAAAGACAGCCAGAGGTCAGAGAAGAACTGTAAGTTATGACATGGATGAACTTGATCCATTGTAGCTGAACAGAACTGAGAACAGAGTGTATGCGAAAAAAAAGTCGAAAAAGACGTTCTTTGACATAGAGTCCTGGAAAATTCGACTATCAAGACACAGATGAGGTGAACATTTGTTAATAACGTAGTTCGATAGAGAAGATATAAGAGTACTTAAAGCAAACAAAAAACTCCAAAGTTGAAAAAACAAAGTTTTCGTTTTCGGAAGGACTGTCCTTAAAGGAATACGCATTTTTGGGTCTTTTTGAACTCGAAAACGTTCATCTATTTTGTCGAATCTAAGTCGTTATGAAATAATATTTTAATGTAAATAAAATATTTGAACCAGTATCGTATTCAAAATGTCTTCATAATCGGAGTAGAAGATCTAGAACGAGTTGCAGGAGTTGAACATCAGTGAACAAAATGGAAAGTCATTGAACCGCATTAGTTTACATATAAACTGTAAATTACTTTTTGTCATGAATAAAAGAAAAGCAGATACCATCGGCTTTGTTTAGAATTGTATCAAATCAACTGTTGGACTTGATTGCTCCAAACAAAAATCGAAAGTATGGCGAAAATTTTTCTCAATTAGTATCAAATTTGATGTTATTTTCTAGCAGAGCGAATGCAACTACGTATGTTTCACGTCAAAGTTAGATGGGATTTCATATTGAAGAACTATAAGTTTTTAGACAGACTGTTGAGTTTAGTACATACCTAACTTCAACCAAATTCACAAAAACTAATTGATTGAAGTCAATCTAGAATAATAAATCATTTATTAGACTTTGATCGATTTTACAAAAATGAGATGCCGTTGAGAAAGATAAGCAGATGTTTGATTGATGATTGTTTACGTACTTAATTTAATCTTCATGAGATGCGACTGGTTTTTTTTCTCTCCCTAGCCATTAAACTAGTTGTGTTCGTGACCATTGGCCACTTAAGAACAGCACAATTCTTTGATCTGTCTCTCTTAGCTTTCGTCATTGCTCTATATTTCTATGCGGAGACGTTCGAGAAAAGCGTTTGGAGTTATCATCTGTTCGTCTAATCAAAGAAAATGTATTATCGTACAAGCAGTTTGATCCATTATCGTTTTCTTCGTACTTCTATCTTCTACTTATTATATCATCGCATTCTAACAAGCTATTCTTGTCTATCACTGATTTGAGTTATATTACTGGTCAGGGACCGAAAATAGAGCGAATCGAACTGAACCGAATTCGAACCACTAAAACTAGGTTCGTTGCAGTCTCTAATAGCAAGTCTGGTTTTTTAGTTGTTTGTTTACAGTGATTTTTGTAAAAAATGAATTCGGAAATTCTCAACACCAAGATCGTTTATAGTTGTAGTTACAGTTCAGTTTTTCAGAATTACACTTTACTCGAACACAGCGAATAAAAGAAGCAGATTACTTATAAAGAAACCAACATGTCTATCACCTTTTTTTCACTATTTTTCTGGATAGTACACGTCGAAATATCCATGTTACGATCAAACTCGCTCAGAATGTTTATTCAAAGACAGTTTCCAATTAAGATTCTGAATATCTAATAGAAAAAAGGGTTCCTTCTCAATTCATCGTTTGACAACAACCGTGATCTGCGCACGAACCTTCTCTAAAATATCAATTTCTATTCGTACTGATATGTTTATTATTTGAAGAAACCATCACAAATAATTATGAGTGAGACATCGTCGAACGCATCTGATTCTGACAATGATGATTCCAGAATGAATGATGATGGATCTGCTGCCATTAAAACCGACGATAATAAAAGTTTTGCTTCTTTATTAAACGAATTAAAGAAATTAACAGCACAACCTAATCTTGATCTACAAAAACATGAGCATGTATTGCAGTTAGTGTTGAAATATGCTAATACAGCTTTTGAATCATCAAAATATTCTCATCTAACCATTGGCGCGTTAGTTGTATTAGTCAATTACTCTGATAAAACAGTTCTTGTACCTTATTTAATTAAGACTGATTATCCCAGAACACTATTAAAATGGCTAAGCTCAATTTCAAAGTAAGAGAAATTAAATTATACACGTGATATAACCAACGAAAATATTGTAAATTTATATTTGGATCTCCTTTATTTTGTCTCCAGCGAAGGACGATCAGATCATGTCGAACGTGTAGTTGGTGTGATTTATAATATCAGTCGTCATGATGATGGTATACAAGTTTTAAATTCTCTTGACACCACAAATAAAATCAAAGAAGTTCAGACGCATAATAAAGATCCAGAAATAAATATTATTTGCTCTATGATTATGGCTCTCCTGTCAACACCTGAACAAATTAAAAATGATCGTAAACGAATGAACAATATACTGGATCAATTGTTACAAATAGTTGTTGATACATCAAAACAATCACCCAAATATCTACATGGAGGATGGCACATCTCAGAACCATTAATCGTTTTAGTAAGATTAATTTGTTATGAGCGTACACTTGATTACATTTTACAGCATGCCCAAGTTGAATTCGAGACATCTTCAACAATTGAATTTTTGATCAAAACATTATTGAAATTCGACAAAGAAGTCGGTGCCGATGATCCTCTCAAGCTATCAACCTGTACAGCATTCTGTAATATACTGTGGAGTATTTCACTTCGCTCACAGTATAAACAAGAATTACAAGAAAATAAAGAATTCAAGATGTGGATTGAGAAAATAGCTACTGATGAATTTGTCCCTAATTCTACTCAGTACGTACCAAAGTATATTGAAAATATTCAGAAAGCTGCTGACGGAATTCTATGTAATATCGACAACAAAAACCAAGTCAATATTCCAAGTGTGACAATACGTGATGGACATCAATCTGTAGTTAGTGCATTAGTTCCGCACTCGTTGACAGACAGAAAACCATCAATTATGATTAGTTATGCCCATAGTGATAGCGATGTTTGTAAACAATTGTATAATGAATTAGTTAAACATAATCAGCAATTTGATATTTGGATCGATTGGAAAAATAGTAAGACAGGATATTTATGGGGTAAAATAGCTGATGGTATAGCAGATGCAAGTGTAATTGTGTGTCTATTGTCAAACAAATATTATGAAAGTAAATCGTGTCAACAGGAATTCGTCTATGCACATGATCATCTCAAGAAACCAGTGATACCTGTTTACATCTTGTACGATAAACCCCCTGGCTGGCTAGGTATGTGTCTCTTAGTGGATATTTTACTAAAAAGTAGGCAGAAATGCAACACATTGAGCTAGAAATGGCCTTTTTTCATAAGGAATACATTTCTTCCTATTTGTGAACTCAGAAAAAATGGCAAAACTGAAATTCCAACAGGAAATCTGTAACCTAAAATTCCTGAGGCCGAACTCTTGCAAATATATTTTTTTTCGTTCGAAAGATGAAAAATAATGTGGTCTTAGATGCAGTTTACAACGTTATCTTCAAATATATATAAGTTGTTAAATAATAATGTTTCGTGACAAATAAGTTAGAATAACTCATAAATCAGTCAAATAATAGAGTAGACAACCGAAAAAGATATACAATCATCCTATGCTCGTTTGGTTTGTACATTGAAAAGTTCAGCTTCTAGCTCTTTTTTGTCTTTATGTTAAAGACTTTTCAGACTCTTTGGATTCACATCTAAAGATGGATGCAGTGGACTATAAATAACTTCCGAAATTCTTGCTGAAAAATAATCGAGCTTATAAAATCGGGGCACTTTTGATTAGAAAAGCATGTTGTCTCAAAATTACATTTATTACCTTGTAAGCATGTTATGCTAGGGAAATAGTAGTTCCCTTAAAAGTTTGACTTATTATGAACGAAAATTTTAGAAGTTATTGATATTTTCCAGTAAAAATGTGTAGGTGTCAATCTCAAGAAAACTATAAATCCTCTAAATCAAACATGAAAATGGCTTGAGAATTGAGACTTTCAGTATAGCATCTAAACATACATAGAAAAATGGTGTGAAAGTTTCAACCAACCAGTCAGATGGTCAAGGTTTTCATGTTCCAAAACTTATCACAACGAAGCACCCAATTAATACTTCTAAAACTATGTTCATTTGTGCATGATTTTGTCTTACCAGTTCTCTCAATAAGAAAAATTCATAGAACTAAAAATTATTTTAGCAATACATACATGTGTTATGAAATACGTTCGTTTTTGTAATATAAAACAATTGGAACAAGAGAAATTAAAAGATTTAATTGAAATGATCGAAGAGAACGTATCAGGAACAACTGCTCAATCAGATGAAGATGTGCTTCCACACACTTCAGTACCCGTTCATCATGAACTGTTAGCGGTTGCATCGAAATCGAAAGAAGAAAAAGAAGCACAACCAAAAGCATCAAATGAAGAGTCGAATTCAGGGTATGTAGCAACAATTATGAAAAGTTGAACTTTTCTTTTGAGTTCACCATTTCTTTCTGTGCCTATTTCGTTTTTTTTTAGACCAAAAACTGATCTTTCTCGAGAACCAGTTGAACAATGGGATAAAAACGATATTAAACAATGGTTTCAAGAGAATAAAATTTTAATGAATCTGTATAACTTATATCAATTCGAAGACGGTACTCACCTACTGAGTTATGCGGCTAGTCTTTCAAATGATGAAAATATAGAATTACAACGTAAGATATATTCTGATGAATTTGCTGCAAAGTACAAAGGTGAACGACTCTTACCCCATCACTTTATAGCATTTGCTTGTGCTTTACGAAAAATAAGTTCTGGACAAGATAAAACTGAAACGAAACAGACCGCCAATCATCTTGCTACACAAAAGTCACTTGAAGCAAAGAAATCGCAAACGTGTGAAATATTATAGTTCATATATTGGATACAGACGCTTTTTGTGTGAATGTAGTAGACATTAGAGTGCTCTGTTTGCACTAACAAAGCAGATATTAATACAACATCTATGTGTTCAGTTTTTCTTACTAAAACTATTTTCAGTTTCCAAAAGCGAACTCAGAAATTGGGGTGTGGGTGTGGGTGTGGTGGGTGTGGGTGTGGTAGATGTGGCGGTCTGTTTCGTTTCAGTTTTATCTTGTCCAGAACTTATTTTTCGT